CTGCACATAAGCGCGCAGCGTCTGCTCCGCCTTTCCCTCCCCCTCCCCTTCCCCCTCCTTCTCCCCCTCACCTTCCTTCTCCCCTTCCCCCTTCACCTCCTCCACTACCTCCTCAGGCGGAAACACCACCTGCTGTGCCCCCTCCTCCCCCTCCGCGTCCCCCTTCGGCGCCGCGCTCCCCACGAAGCCCCTAAGCATCCCAATACTTTTCTCCAGCTGGAATCGCTGATCCACGCGTCGCAGGAAATACCCGTACATAATCGACGCCGCGTACACCTGTCCTAATCGCAGCTTGCTGGTCCCCACCACCACCCTGTCGTCGTTAATTAAAGCTGCCATGGGCCCCGTCGGACGCGGTCCGAGAATAGTAGCCAAGTGCTCCTTAACCATGTCTAGAGCCTCTTCGGAATGGACGCTGGATAGCTCTTGCTCTTTAACGGGGACGGTTGGAACGAGGTCCAGGCCGAAGGGTGAGGTGGCGGCGGACGGGAAGAGCGTGGATGACGGGTCGACGGTGACGAAGGGCACTTTCGGGAGGAGCGGCGCGCCGGACTCGATAAACTTTTGGACTATTAACGCATACATGACCTCCTTGATAGCGCGCATGCGCTCGCTGTTCCGCACCTCCGCCATCCGCCTGCGTTGATGAAAAGGCAGGGAGTCGGAACAGCAGCGAGAGGGGCATAACGGTGAGAATTTCAAAATGATGAAATGAACAGAGTGCGAACAGAGCTCGGAGGCAAGCTCAAAGAACGGAGGAATTTCAGAATGATGTAATGAAGGATGCTCAAAGAAATGTAAACTCGAAGAAACGGAGGAAACTCAAGCGAAACGTTCATTACACACAAGGATAGTCCCAGTAGAGCTTGCAGCCAATGAGGCTTGAATTGAGCGGACAGCAGGTGCGAACCGGCATAATGCGTGTATGCGGTGCACCGCAGCTGCAACAGTGACATCTTTTTTGGTTCGTTCAGTGTTTGTCCCTTGGTGCTATGCTCTTGCTCGCACTGTTCGTACGACGCTGCCAAGTGCTCAGTACGCGCCATGTTTATCAGTTGTAACGGGCGTATCATCTGTACTCACTTGTACAGAACGAGGTCGCTGCTTGACTTCTTCGCGCCACTCTCCTTCGGGGCGTCCGTCGCCTCCGCCTCCGCCGCTAGTTGCTCCAGCTGCTGCTCCGCCGCCGCCGGCACCAAATGCGGGTGCGATAGAATCAACTGCTCCAGGAGAATTCCAGAAGGCGACTCGGGACTTAGCGGAGCCGCCTTAGCAGCTTCGTCTTTCGACTCGGGAGTGCTGTCTGAAGAAGGGGAGCCGGAGTCAGTAGACATGGCGAAAATTCGCGACATGCGGCGACGAGAGAACGAGCTCTTCCTGCACGAGGTGGTAACTGCAGCTCGCAAAATTCGCAAGCCTGTAATTTCTGAGTTGACGGAATGCCATGACGCCTTGGTCGGTGGACGGCGAGTGGGGGTGGTTATGGCATCATTTAGACAGGCTGCAAAGGCTGACGACTGAAGCCGCTGAGCAACCATGGATGAAGCGTGCGCCATGCTGGTGTACGAGGTAAGACCGAATTACGACTGTATCAGTTGATAAAGGCCGAGTTCGTCAGTCGGAAAGCTGGCCTCGTTATCACAAAGCGAGCGACTTTCTAAAGCAACTGAAGCTGGATAGTAGACTCGGAACGGGAAGTCTCTCCTAGTAATCGCAGTATTAGAACAAAAACCAGGAAATTTCCAGACAGTCGAAACACTCGTCCGGAATTCGAGGATAAATTGGAGCTTGATTCCTAAAATGGAGGACGATGAAAGTGAAAGAATAGGGAGGGAGGATATAGACGGAGGTGCGATGCGACTGCAAGTGAAGCAGAGGGGACGGAGCGAGGGGAAAAAGAACGGAAGGTGGAGGAAGACAGGAACCGTGTGAGGTGATTGGTGGAAGACAGACTGACGACGATTAACGAATTTTCGAGAAACCGCCAGAGCACACGCAATCGCGTCACCGGCAAAGAATTCTGTCTACGTGGGGGTTTGACGACGTGTCTATCGCTCACGTCCAGGTTGTAGTGTGCGGATTGCGGCATTCAAGTGGTACACGTGGATTCATGTAACGATTGCTGGGATGAAATAACACGTGGCGAATTGTGCGAAGCTCAAGGATTTCTGTCGATAGCAGGTGAGATTGCGGACGCTCCGATAGCTGACCAATTGGTGTGCTCCTTTTCTGTTCCCGTTTTAATTATACGCTTATTGCGTACGCTTTCCGTTCAGTTATGCCAGGTTCAGCCGGCGAGTCGGAGGATCTCCCTCCATCCATTCCGCCGTGAATCCCAACCAATCCCTGTGGGGCATCCTATGGCCGTTTTGAGAGTGGGGTGTGCTATGACACAGTTCCAGTGTCAAGATTAAAAAACGGGGAGAAGCGTTTCAAAGCGGTGAAGTGCGGAATAAGGAGCACAATGTCCATAGCTGAATTTGTGGTTACACAAAAACTCATGCTTGGTGCTTCGCGTTTCGTTCGCTTGTTGCCTTGTCGTCAGTACGTGGGTGCTCTATTCACTACCTTCCCCAACCTCTCTGATTTCTTTATTGACCGCTCTAGGACGTACTACAACCTATTGAGCCGCATTAACTTTTTGGACTCCCCCGCATTTCCTTGCCTCACGTCGCCGTTCCCAATCCCTCCGAATATATTCTTTCCACCTCTGATCTCACTGAAGGTCATACAGGAGAAACGAGCGTGGACGAGAATTGTCACCCAACACCACCACCTGCTCCAGGTCCTTAGATCCACGTGGACTAATATAGTTGATCCGTAATCAACCTTTTAACTTTCGAAATAGTCACATCTGCTTATCTATGTCGACGTTGAATGTGACAGTAGGTACATCGCTTTGGTCCCTTTGAAATGGCGATTTTTAACTAGCGAATCTCACACACTCGTCGATAATGAATCGCGGTCCGGGTTACTGGAGAGGCTTCAGAGGTTCCCGAGCAGCATTCAAGAAGCAGGCCAAGTTCAAGGCGTGCCAGTCGATACTTCTCTGCATTCTCGTCTTTTTCGTCCTTCATGTGATTGTAAGCCATAAAAACTGAGTTGACTTGAGTCGACTGAAAAGCGTGCCAGTCGATACTCCTCTGCGTCCTCGTCTTTTTCGTCCTTCATGTCACTGTAAGCCATTAAAACCGAGGTGAATTTTGAGTTGACTCAATGGTTAACTTTGTCCTTCATGTGATTGTAAGCCACTGTAGCATGCAAGCGTGATCTGCATCATCGCTCTTCACCCTTGCGTGATCCGGTCTTGAGGATTCTCAAGTGCAACGCCTTAAGCACTGCGGGAGGTTATTGGTTCTAGCGAACTACCTCGCGGTCGTCTCGAGTGTATCTTACCTATACTGAATGAAGCATCCGTTATCCTCTTGGCTCTGCAACACACGCGTGTCGACAGTGTGTGAACGGATGATATTTGGGGTCGGCATTGACGTGGCTTTTGGGTCGACCCCTTGACATGCATTCAACGTGTTCACTTGCACTCTGTACTGAGTCCATTTATGCAACATAAACGCGTACATGTGCTCTCCCGTCCCGTTATTGTGTACAGTTCACATCGTCCAAGAGGTCCGCATCAACGCAGGCAGTGAACAAGCTCAAGAGCCTCACCAAGAGACTGCCTGAGGTGCGCAAAGGGCAAGGGGCAAAGGGCGGGGGGCAAGGGGACTCCACCCGAGGCTGGCAAGCAGCTTATGGTGGACCGTGGATGGCTGCGCTGGCAAGCCATGGGTCGTGTTTTGAGTCGACTCAAAACACGACTCATTACACGCTTTTGAGTCGACTAAAAACACGACTCATTACACGCTTTTGAGTCGACTAAAAACATGACTCATTACACGCTTTTGAGTCGACTAAAAACACGACTCATTACACGCTTTTGAGTCGACTAAAAACTCGACTCATTACACGCTTTCGAGTCGACTAAAACACGACTCATTACACGCTTTTGAGTCGACTAAAAACTCGACTCATTACACGCTTTCGAGTCGACTAAAACACGACTCATTACACGCTTTTGAGTCGACTAAAAACACGACTCATTACACGCAGATGCTGGCAAGCAGCTTATGGTGGACCGTGGATGGCTGCACTGGCAAGCCATGGGTCACGGTGGCATGACCTTTTCACCTTTACCCTCTTCGCAATCACGTGAAATCCTCTGAAAGAAAAAAAAAAACGATGCACACTCACTCAATTGCTGCTGTTCTTGTGCTGCTCATATCCATGGCTGTTTGGCTGCCGGTATGTTCAGGCAGGGGCGAGCAGCCGTTTGGCCACGGCAACACAGGCCATCCATCAGGAGATCAGTGAGTGACGCCTCTCACCCCAATGCAATTTGCCCGCTTTCTGGCCTTCTTTTAGAATTCTCAGAACCAGCTTGTATCATTTGGCCACGGCAACACAGGCTATCCAACAGGAAATCAGTGAGCATCCCTCCGCCCCTCCCTCTTTTCGATTCACCCTCCTCGCTTTCTCTCTTCAGCCTTTTTGCTTTGTCCAACCTCCTTTCGAATCGTCGTGCGTTTCCCATCCCATCCCGTCCCATACTTTGCCCAGCATGTGCACTGATTGCCCTTCACACGCTCCACGCCTCTCCACATCGGTCATGCATATCCCCTATCATTCCTCGTTTGCCTCAAACACCTGTGATCACTTTCAGAGACGATCTGAGCTAACTTCTAGCTTCTCATCATCCCTGCACTGCACCCACCCACCCATCGGGTTTTTTTTTCATTCAAAAATATTTTTTTTTTAATAAAATTTATTGTGTCTCTCCGGGATAATTTTTGAGAATTATTAGGAAAATAAAAAATAAAAAATCGTGTGTCTCTCCGAGACCCTCTGTCCTGACCCTCGTCCCACCAGGTGCGAGGATCACTGAAGCCACGAGCATCACAGCAGATTCCCGGGCAGCTTATGGCGACCCAGGTGGCGCTGGGGGGATGGCCGCGGCGGTGGGGGAAGGAGGAGCGCGCAGAGGAGGATTGGGCGGAGGGGGAATGGGGGGAGGGGGATTCGGGGGAGGGCAGGGGACAGGTGAGGTGACGGGAGGTGTAGCAGGGGTAGCGGGAGAAGGTAGAGGGAATGGATTGAGAGGAGATGCAAGGGCAGAGGCAGGGCGAGGAGCAGAGGAGGGGAGTGAGGTCGAGGTAGAGGAGGAGGAGGAGGGGGACGGGGCTCACCACAGGGACCGAGGGTGGGATGACAGTAGAGGGCGGGAGGAGGGCGCAGGGCAGCAGGAGAGGGGTGGGAAACAGGAGGGCGGAGAGCAGCAGGAAGGGAGAGGGCAGCATGAGGGGCATGGGCAGCATGAGGGGCAAGGGCAGCATGAGGGGCAAGGGCAGCATGAGGGGCAAGGGCAGCATGAGGGGCAAGGGCAGCATGAGGGGCAAGGGCAGCATGAGGGGCAAGGGCAGCATGAGGAGGCGGCAGGGGACGGGGCGGAGGGGTATGACGTAGAGGAAGGGCATGGAGAGGGGAAATTGGTGGAGGAGAAGCAGCGGGAGCTGGAGCTGCTACAGGGGCTGCTTAAAGCGGAGATGGATGCGCAGGGTGGGGGGAGATATGGGGGTGAGGGGACGGAAGGCCATGGGGGGAAGGAGGGGAAGGAGGGGAAGGAGGGGAATGAGGGGAATGAGGGGAAAGGGTCAGGTGGGAAGGAAAGGGATGATGAGGAGGAGGAGGATCCGGATGAGACGGAGCAATGGGGGGAGGGGGGAGAACGAGTGGGCGGAACGGGGGAAAAGACTGAGAGGGAGAAGAGCATGAGGGAAGGATCGCGGGATAATGGTGTGGGTGGTGGTGGTGCTGGGGTTGGTGGCAAGTTGGCGTCCGAGTCGACAGGGAGGGCAGCAGTGGGAGGGGTTGGGGGAACAGCACGGGCAGATGGTGGTGGGGCGCGTGGAGGAGGGAAGTACGATGAGTGGGAGGAGGAGGGGGCGCTGGCACACTCACAGGGCATGGAGGAAGGGGGAGGCGCAGGGGCTGCTAGGGAGAGAGGGAACGGCAGGGAGATAGGGCGTGAGAATGCAAGAGGGAAGGAGGAGGGGGAAGGAGAGGCGGGGAGTAAGGGCGAGAGTGAGAGTGGGAGTGAGCATGATGAGATAGCGTCGGTGCTGAGAGCCATGGGGCATGCGGTTGGGGATGATGGTGCTGATGCTCATGATGCTCATGATGCTCATGATGCTCATGATGCTCATGATGCTCATGATGCTCATGATGCTCATGATGCTCATGATGCTCATGATGCTCATGATGCTCATGATGCTCATGATACTCATGGTGCTCATGATGCTCATGATACTCATGATGCCCATGATACTCATGATGCCCATGATACTCATGATGCCCATGATGCCCATGATGACCATGATACCCATGATACCCATGATACGGCTGCTGATGCTGATGTTGCTACCACTGATGCCCATCACAGTACGGCTGCTGGTGGCGCTGCTAGCACTGCTGGCGCTGCTGCTGGCACCAACTCGTTGCATGAGGGAAGCACACAGCGTGGTGTGAAGCCGGAGGAGGACCAACAGTCAGTGCACCAAGGGGAGGGAGTGAGGGAAGAGGGAGCAGACGAGGAGGGAGGGGGAGAAGAGGAGGAAGGCACGTCGGTGGCAGTGGAGAGAGGGCAGTCGGACCAGCGCAAGCAGCTCATGGAGCAGGAGGCTGCCCGCCGCAGCGTGCCAGTGGCAGGGCACAGAGAGACAGCAGCAGCAGATGCAGGGCTGGTGGGCGACAGAGGTGGGGCAGGAGATGCGGCACAGGTAGGAGACAGAGGGGCGGTAGGGGATGCAGGGCAGGTGGGAGATAGAGGTGTGGCAGGAGACGTGGGGCTGGTAGAGGGGGCCGGAAGGAGAACGGACGAATCCTTGAGTGGAGAAACACGAGCAGCTGCAGCAGAGGCAGCAGCAGCAGCAGGTTTAGCAGGAGGGGAAAGAACAGCAACGCAGGCAGTGACAGGCTGGGGCGGGTTGTCGAGAGGAGAGGGCATTTCAATGGCTTCTTCCCTGCACAAGGAAGGGGGGCTAGCAGAGACACGTGCGGGGGCAGGTGCGACTGGGGCAGGTGCAACTGGGGCAAGTGCGACTTGGGCAGGGTTGACTGGGGCAGGTTTTACTGGGGCGAGTGTGACAGCGAGACAGCAAGAGACTTTTCGAACAGAACATGCAGAGACAAGACAGCAAGGCGTGTCTGGGTGGGCTGGTTTGTCCGTTAGCGGGGCAGGTTCATCTGTAGGCGGGCTGGTGGACGAAGAGGAGGCTCGGAGGGCGGAGCTGCAGCAGCATGGGAGGGCACATTCGGTGGAGGAAGGGGAGAGGCAACAGGTGCTGCACCAGGCGTACAGGCAGCAGCGGCTGCAGCGGCACCAGCAGTGGCAGCAGCAGCAGGACGAACAGCAGAGATTTCTGCAGCAGCAGCAGCAGCAGCTGCAGTCACAGCATGAGCAGGGTGGTGGTGTTGGAGGGGCAGAGGCAGGGACAGGCGCAGGGGTAGGGGCTGAGGGAGGGGCAGGGGCAGTGGCAGGGGTGGCAGGGGGGGTGGCAGCAGGTGTTGCTGCAGGGCCAGCAATCTCCCTGGCGCACCCAGAGGACTTCCTGGGCGAACCTGAAGAAACACCTGAAGAGGCCTTAGAGAGCGCTGCTAGGAAAGCCAAAGCTGCCGCTGCTGCCGCCGCTGCTGCTGCTGCAGGTGGGGAGGGGGGTGGAGGGGGAGGAGGAGGGGAAGAAGGGGACGAAGGAGGAGCAGGAGGCGGCGGAGAGGAGGCGGCGGGGGGAGTGGGTGTGGGGGACGGGGGTTTTGGGGGAGGGGAGGATGAGGAGGATGGGATGCTGCTGCGGGGGGAGTTTCTTAAGGCTAGGAAGGAGAGTGCTCCCCTGGGGCAGCGAGGGGCGGCGCTTGTGCAGCAGGAGAGGGGACTTGTGCTGCCACAGCAGCAGCAACAGCAGCAGCAACAGCAGCAGCAACAGCAGCAACAACAAGACCTGCTGCTGCAACAGCAGCAACTGCGGCTGCAGCTGCAGCAGCAGCAACAGACGAAAACGGCTGCTTGGCAAATGGGAGGTGCTGCTGCTGGTGGTATTAGTGGTGCTGGTGGTGGTGGTGGGTGGAGTGCGATGAGGGCGAGTGGGGCTTTTGGCAGTGGGGGAGGGGGTACCTACGGCAAAGGCCCTGAGGAGGTTCTATCTGGTGCAGGTCGGACTGACGACTCAGCTGCTGCTGCTGCTGCTGCTGCTGCTGCTGCTGCTGTTGCTGAAGGAAGATCAGATATAGAAACAGCTACAGGAACATCAGCAGGAGTAGCTACAGGAGCAGCTACAGGAGCAGCAGCAGGAGCAGCAATGGCAGGGGGAGAAGCAGGACAGGGTGCTGCAGAAGCAGCAACAGCAGGAGTTAAAGCGGTGAAGGTGGAGGAGGAGAGGGGGAATGTGCAGGTGCCGGTAGTTGTGATTGTATTGAAGCCTCGTGTGGGCAAGTGTGCTCCTGGCACCGCACTGCACCGAGTGCTGCAGGTGAGGCCACCCCCATCCCCATCTCCATCCCTTCCCACTTCAATTCCCCATGCCCATCCCTGTCCCATCCCACCTAAAATTCCCATCCCCATCCCCACCCAAAATCCCTATACTCATCCATCGCCACCCAAAATCCTCATCCTCATCCCATCCCCATCCACATCCCATCCCCATCCACATCCCATCCCCATCCACATCCCATCCCCATCCACATCCCATCCCCATCCCCATCCCCATCCCCATTCCCACCTCCCCATTCCATCCCATCCCCATCTCCATCCACCGCAATTCCTCCCCCTCCCTCACAGCAAGCCCGGCAGAGCAACAGCGAGGTGCATCTGGTGGGGTCGAGGGAGTGTGCAGCAGCTGCAGGCGCCATGGGCATGTCATCCTTGCACTATGCCCTCTATTACCATCCCATCCCCCCTCTCTCCCTCTTCTCCGCATGCAATCCCCCCTTCATCCCCCCTCCCCCTCCCTCACAGCAAGCCCAGCAGCGCAACAGGGAGGTGCATCTGGTGGGGCCGAGGGAGTGTGCAGCAGCAGCAGCCGTCCTGGACATGGCATTCACGCGCTACGCCCTCGTCAACCAAACCATTGCCTCGTTCCCATGAAATTCCCCTCCCTCACAGCAAGCCTGGCAGCGCAACAGCGAGGTGCATCTGGTGGGGCCGAGGGAGTGTGCAGCAGCAGCGGGCGGCCTGGGCGTGGCATTCACGCGCTACGCCCTTTTCAACCAAACCATTTCCACCTTCCGGTCATCGTTTGGCACTCCCCGCACCGACCTCGTGAGTTAATGCTCTCCTGCCCACAACTGCTTCTCCTCGCTCCTCTCCCTCTTCTGTCGCGTCTCCCTCCTCTGCCGCAAGCTCTGATTGTCCGAACTCGCACTATCCTCCTCTGTCTCCTGATTCTCCCCTACATTTCCCTCCCCTCTCACGCTTCCCATCCCCCCTTGTATTCGTCACCATGTGGACAGCTGCGCTGGGGCGTGCTGCACCCAAATATGTGGTAGTGTGTGTTTTTTGGCCCCCCAAAAAGTGTCTTCCTCTCACTAAAAAGTGTGTTCCTCTCTTTTCATGGGCCCCCGTCCTTCCGCTTGCCCTCCCCTCCATCCCTGCCATGCATGTCAGGTGCGCTGGTTGGTACTCCATGCGTACATGACTCGCACCAATCTCTCCCACACCCTTTACCTCTCCCCTATACCCCCGGGTTCGTGCTCCGTGCAGCGAGGTTGTTTTTGAGACGTGTCAAGAACAACCCCTAAACCCCGCGGTTCGTGCTCCGTGCAGCGAGGTTGTTTTTGAGACGTGTCAAGAACAACCCCTAAACCCCGCGGTTCGTGCTCCGTGCAGCGAGGTTGTTTTTGAGACGTGTCAAGAACAACCCCTAAACCCCGCGGTTCGTGCTCCCTTCTGTCCTTCATCTTGTGCCCCCCCCCTCCCTACTCCTCCCCCCCCCCGTTCAGACCAGGTCCGTTGGTCTGTACTCCACGCCTACATGACTCGCAACAACCTCTCCCACGCCCTCTACCACTCCCACGCCCTCTACCACTCCCACGCCCTCTACCACTCCCACGCCCTCTACCACTCCCACGCCCTCTACCACTCCCACGCCCTCTACCACTCCCACGCCCTCTACCACTCCCACGCCCTCCACCACTCCCACGCCCTCTACCACTCCCACGCCCTCTACCACTCCCACGCCCTCCACCACTCCCACGCCCTACCACTCCCACGCCCTCTACCACTCCCACGCCCTCTACCACTCCCACGCCCTCTACCACTCCCACGCCCTCTACCACTCCCACGCCCTCTACCACTCCCACGCCCTCCACCACTCCCACGCCCTCTACCACTCCCACGCCCTCTACCACTCCCACGCCCTCTACCACTCCCACGCCCTCTACCACTCCCACGCCCTCTACCACTCCCACGCCCTCTACCACTCCCACGCCCTCTACCACTCCCACGCCCTCCACCACTCCCACGCCCTCTACCACTCCCATGCCCTCCACCACTCCCACGCCCTCCACCACTCCCACGCCCTCTACCACTCCCACGCCCTCTACCACTCCCACGCCCTCTACCACTCCCACGCCCTCTACCACTCCCACGCCCTCTACCACTCCCACGCCCTCTACCACTCCCACGCCCTCTACCACTCCCACGCCCTCTACCACTCCCACGCCCTCTACCACTCCCACGCCCTCCTCCACTCCCACGCCCTCTACCACTCCCACGCCCTCTACCACTCCCACGCCCTCTACCACTCCCACGCCCTCTACCACTCCCACGCCCTCTACCACTCCCACGCCCTCCACCACTCCCACGCCCTCTACCACTCCCACGCCCTCTACCAATCCCACGCCCTCTACCACTCCCACGCCCTCTACCACTCCCACGCCCTCTACCACTCCCACGCCCTCTACCACTCCCACGCCCTCCACCACTCCCACGCCCTCTACCACTCCCACGCCCTCCACCACTCCCACGCCCTCTACCACTCCCACGCCCTCTACCACTCCCACGCCCTCTACCACTCCCACGCCCTCTACCACTCCCACGCCCTCTACCACTCCCACGCCCTCTACCACTCCCACGCCCTCTACCACTCCCACGCCCTCTACCACTCCCACGCCCTCTACCACTCCACGCCTCCCACGCCCTCTACCACTCCCACGCCCTCTACCACTCCCACGCCCTCTACCACTCCCACGCCCTCTACCACTCCCACGCCCTCTACCACTCCCACGCCCTCTACCACTCCCACGCCCTCTACCACTCCCACGCCCTCTACCACTCCCACGCCCTCTACCACTCCCACGCCCTCTACCACTCCCACGCCCTCTACCACTCCCACGCCCTCTACCACTCCCACGCCCTCTACCACTCCCACGCCCTCTACCACTCCCACGCCCTCTACCACTCCCACGCCCTCTACCACTCCCACGCCCTCTACCACTCCCACGCCCTCTACCACTCCCACGCCCTCTACCACTCCCACGCCCTCTACCACTCCCACGCCCTCTACCACTCCCACGCCCTCTACCACTCCCACGCCCTCTACCACTCCCACGCCCTCTACCACTCCCACGCCCTCTACCACTCCCACGCCCTCCACCACTCCCACGCCCTCTACCACTCCCACGCCCTCTACCACTCCCACGCCCTCTACCTCTCCCGTGTACCCACCTGCTCGTGCTCCCTCCTGACCTTCCTCTTGTTCCCCCCCTCCCTCCCCTTCTCCCCGTTCACGCCAGGTGCGCTGGTTTGTGCTGCATGCCTACATGACTCGCAACAGCCTCTCCCACGCCCTCTACCTCTCGCCAGACGTCCTTCTCTTTGCCAACGCCACCGAAGCTATCAACCAGGTCCGGCACTTCAATTCATTTTCTGCATCTCAGTCCACCCAACAACCATTTTCTGCATCTCAGTCCACCCAACAACCATTTTCTGCATCTCAGTCCACCCAACAACCATTTTCTGCATCTCAGTCCACCCAACAACCATTTTCTGCATCTCAGTCCCTTATTTCCTTGTTTTGATCCTTACACCATGCCCCACTCCCCTGCTACCCTTCCCAATTCCCCCTTTTCCCCCTCCCCTTTTTTCCCTTCACAATTTCCCCCTTTCTCCCTCCCCCTTTTCTTCTTCCTAATTCCCCCCTTTTCCCCTCCCCCCCTTCCCCATTTCCCCCATTCCCCCGTTCCCCCTTTCCCCCTTTCCCCACTTCCCCCCTCCCACACCTGAACCTGCCCCTAGAACGCCACATCCTCCTTGAGCGTTCTCTCCTCCCCTTAACCCCCTCCTCTCCCCCCCCACTTCTCCGCTTACCCCCCTTCCCCTCCCCTCCCCCCCCCACTTCTCCGCTTACCCCCCTTCCCCTCCCCTCCCCCCCCACTTCTCCGCTTACCCCCCTTCCCCTTCCCCTCCCCCCCCACTTCTCCGCTTACCCCCCTTTCCCTTCCCCTCCCCTCCCCAGGGAACCTGCCCCAAGAGCGCCACATCCTCCTCATCCCTTCCCCCCATTCTCTCATCCCCGTCCCCCCTTTCTCCTCTCCTTCCCCCTTCCCCCGCCCCCAGCTGTACCTCCCCCACGAGCGCCACGTGCTCCTCATCCCCTCCCCATTCCCCTCCTCCGATTCCCCCCTCCCCGTTCCCCTCATCCGATTCCCCCCTCCCCGTTCCCCTCATCCGATTCCCCCCTCCCCGTTCCCCTCATCCGATTCCCCCCTCCCCGTTCCCCTCATCCGATTCCCCCCTCCCCGTTCCCCTCATCCGATTCCCCCCTCCCCGTTCCCCTCATCCGATTCCCCCCTCCCCGTTCCCCTCATCCGATTCCCCCCTCCCTGTTCCCCTCATCCGATTCCCCCCTCCCCGTTCCCCTCATCCGATTCCCCCCTCCCCGTTCCCCTCATCCGAATCCCCCCTCCCTGTTCCCCTCATCCGATTCCCCCCTCCCCGTTCCCCCCTCCGCCCTCCCCTTCCCCCCTCCCCCAGCTGTACCTCCCCCACGAGCGCCACATGCTCCTCCCCCAGCCCTTCCCCGGCACGCGCCCCCCTCGCCGCGCCACCGCCCCCCCGCACACTCCCATGGAGGCACACACAGCAGCGTGGTCAATAGAAGGACTGGCGGACTTTCTGAGATTCGTGCGTGTGTTTGTGGCGCAAGGGGTGCTGGGTGGCGGGGAGGAGACTCCTGCAGAGCGACTAAAGAACCCGGTGAGTTGAGCTGGTGGGGGGAATTTCCCCACGCTATAGCCCCCCACACACCCCCCCGCACACTCCCATGGAGGCACACACAGCAGGGTGGTCAATAGAAGGACTGGCGGACTTTCTGAGATTCGTGCGTGTGTTTGTGGCGCAAGGGGTGCTGGGAGGGGGGGGGAGGGGACACCTTGAGAGCGGTTGAAAAACCCGGTGAGTTGCTGTGGTTAAGCTGCTGGGCTGGGAATTCCCCACGCTAAGGCTCACCTCCCCCCTGCACACGCCCACGGAGGCGCACACGGCTGGATGGTCGATAGAAGGGCTGGGGCCCCTGCAGAACGACTCAAGAACCCGGTAAGTCATGCTGAAATCATAAGGCCTTGACCTGCCCAAGATGCTGCAGATTGTTTTCGAGAAAATTTCAAAAACGATCTGCAGCACACGGTGAGTTGTGCATAAAAGGCCTGCTCATTCCCTCTAACCTGCCCAAAGTACTGCCTCAACCTCCCCTTCCCCCCACCCCCCCCCCCCCCCCCCTCCCCCCCCTCACACAGCCCTGGTGACAGGGGGGTGGGCACAGCCACGGCTTGCTCCTTTGTTGCATCTCCAGTCCTAGAATATGGCACTGCCTCGTGCTCTCACTCTCACTCACTCTCACTCACACGCACACTCAATCACTCACACTCACACTCACACTCACACTCACTCACTCCTCATTCCCACTCCTACTCCCGCTCACCTTCACTCCCACCCAACATTACCCTCTCCACACCCTATGAACTACTTTATGGCGCCACCATGCTGGGACGGTACACCCAGCATGACGCCACCATTCTGGGACAGTATGTATGCTGGCACACCCCTGCAGTGCTGAAGCCTCCTCTGCATGTAGAGAGTGAGAGTGTGAGTGAGAGTGTGAGTGAGAGTGATCCCACAACACACCCCTGCAGCTGAGCCGTGTTGTGGGATCACTCTCACTCACACTCTCACTCACTCACGCTCCCACACGCATCACACCCACTCATCCTCCCCTCACACATCCGCAGGACTACTCAGACGCCACCAAGCTGGGATGGAACACACACCATGCATGCTGGCATGCTCCTGAAAGTGCCGAGGTCTCCCCTGCTTTTGCAGAAAAGCCAAGTTTCAAAATCACTCTCATTCCCACTCATCTCATTCCCACTCACTTTCACCCTTCCAGGACTACTCAGACGCCACCATGCTGGGATGGTACACCCACCATGCATGCTGGCACGCCCTTGGGATCATTCTCACTCTTACTCAAGCTCACTTCCACCCACCGGCCTCCTCTCTCCCTTGTGCAGGACTACTCGGATGCCACCATGCTGGGGTGGTACGCCCACCATGCCTGCTGGCACGCCCCTGAGAACGCTGAGGCCTCCCCTGCATGCGCGGCTGAGCCGTGTTGTGGGATCACTCCCGAGAGGGCTGCCAGGCTGGCTGGCCGCTTCACACCCCGGTGAGTGGCCGTGTGTGCATGGAGAGGGTCTGCACACCTGACCAAGGTGACTTGTGTGTGGGAGTGTTGATGCTGCCCATGCATGCGCGGCTGAGTTGTGGGATCACTTGCGAGAGGGCTGCCAGGCTGGCTGGCCGCTTCACACCCGGGTGAGTGGCCGTGTGTGCATGGAGAGGGTCTGCACACCTGACCAAGGTGACTTGTGTGTGGGAGTGTTGAGGCTGCCCATGCATGCGCGGCTGAGTTGTGGGATCACTTGCGAGAGGGCTGCCAGGCTGGCTGGCCGCTTCACACCCCGGTGCGTGGAGACTGAGGGGGATAGAGTAGGAGGGACACAGGAGAAAGTGGAGAGGAGGGAAACTGGGTGGAGTATGGGGGTGGGAGAAAAGGAACGAAAGTCCATATGCTTTGTTTGCCTGTATTGGTGAGTATATTTTCTCTCTTACTCTCTCAACCCTGATCCTGTCCAGGTTCAATGTATCGAGCTTGCTGCAGCCTCGCCGATGCCAAGCTACATCGTGGTCAGACGACGGGTGGTGTGTTTTCTCAGTCTATCCATTTTCTCCGTCCACAAGTGACATGTCAGCATCTGGAGGGATCTTCCAGCCAGCTCAACGCCTCTCGTTTCATCCTAAACAAGGCATGAAGCTTCCACGCTCAGTAAAGTATCGGTACTTTGTTCATTGGAAGCCACGAGGAGACGATGGAGAGGTGGTGAAAGGTCCAGGTGCCCATGGGGTGCAGTTTTTGTCAGTGCGCTTTGCAGGTGACGCTGCGAACCAAATTAGTGAAGACCCCGAATCGACATGGGGAGCTGCCGATTTTTCCAATGAGAAGCAGGCTGGAATCCTGAAAGTAGGATCTGTTGGAGCCAGGATGAGGGATAAATATTAATGTAAGCTGATACCAGGTCGGTAGGTACTTAGGCTTTGTTATTGAAATACTGTACTGTAGAGGCATTTCAAGTTCTCGAGCAGAAGAAAGTCGCGTTCAGCCCAGAGTCAAGCTTTGTGCCACATCAGCAACGTGTTGTGAGTACCTGACTCGCGTTACGGATGTGTACAGCGTGGCGGCTTTAGCCGCCAATACAGCATGTCCCAGCCATCCACCGTCGTCAGGCTGTGCTCTTTCCACGTGTGAATGGGAAAGGGACGTCCGGCGCGAATGGCACCGGCCCGTGTAACTAGGCGAATGGTTGCGAGAGAAAGAAAGGGCCAGGGCCACTCGAGAACCTTGCTGGCGAAGCATTATCGTGGTTGTGCCTTTTCGCGATGGAGAACGAAAGCTCAAACGCGGTAACTTGAAGTCGTAAGGGTCGGTGAGCGACAAATTTGTTGGTTGTTCCTAGAAAATCTGCCAGCACAGCACCAACCACCACAACCACCACCCGGCGCGCTGCACTTTTTCTCAATCAGGCTGGGTACTGTGGATACAACAAGGGACCAGAATGAGCTCGAATGCGCTAGAATGGTTCCGATCATTTTAGTAGTTTGGTTCGGTTGGTAATGGTTTGGAAAGCTCATGACATGCCATACTGAACTTGTCCAGATCTTTGGGCATACAAGGTATACTGATCTATCATTTCCGTCACAGCTCTGCATTTCCCGCGTTGACGTTTTAATCCACGACTTCGGTAGCCTTTTCTGCTGCGCGCACAGAGCGGTGTTGCCCGTCATCGGCCGTCGACTTGGGTAGAGTAAGCGGGCTGCGCGCGGTTCGCGGGAGACGATACAGAGCTGCGCTCTCAGATCGAATCTCGCCATTATGGCGTCATCTCTCGCTGCAGCTTGCGGCGCTGACGTCATTGTTCCCGCTCGCCTGCACCCCGTTTCGTCGCAATGTTCGCACTCGGCGTCTTCGGCGATCGCAGTCGTTCAAAGCCGTCGCACGCTGCCGGACGGCCGTCGCAGAACGACGTTTTGGGGATTCGGAGATTCTCTGGATGTAAACAATATCCCGAAAACCAAAATTTCAAATTTTAGCTGTCAAGCAGTTCGGTTGACGGTGACGTGCGCAGCGGGGGGAGGCGCAGCGGGTACCGGCGGAGCGGGAGGGGGAGAGTCAGGCGGGGCGGCAACGTCGACGAGCGACTCCTTCCTGGGGATGTGGAAGCGCGCGCAGGAGAGGGAGCGCGAGGCGGTTCGCGAGGCCGAGGCGCGGAAGCGCGCGGAAGAGCAAGGCGCGGCGCCAGCGGCAGCGCAAGCGGCGGGGCAGGAGCAGGGGAAGCAATCTGGGGAGAGCGCGGATGTGGTGAAGAAGCGCGAGGCGCAGTTCCTTCAAATGCTCGAGGTACCGGGGTGTGGCACTATCGAGTGCTATCCAGGTATGCTATAACGAGGCGTGACGATCTCGAGATGTAACGATATCGACGTATGGCGTCGACTTTCGGAGTTGTTGTTGCTGTTTTTTTCAGAAGCATAAGGCGGGGTACCCAGTATGATTCTTGTAGGTGCTTCCTCTTTTTCCGTTCGTCTTGCCCGCATGTAGAAAGTGGTTTTTTTAGGCGTCTCAAAAAATCATTTTCAGAAGCATAAGGCGGGGTACCCGTCAGTATAATTCTTGCAGGTGCTTCCTCTTTTTCCTTTCCGCTTGCCCGCCCATCCCGCTCTCCCGCACTGGGAGCCCCCGGCCTCCGTTCCGCGGCCGCCGCTCACGCGCTCGCACGAGTCAGACCGCCAAGGAATCTCGCCGAGCGGCGGAAGGGAGGGTAGCTCGTGGCTGACCGCACAGTTGCGCGCGGGCAGTCCGGGGCTGACCGCACAGTTGCGCGCGGGCAGTCCGGGGCTGACCGCACAGTTGCGCGCGGGCAGTCCGGGGCTGACCGCACAGTTGCGCGCGGGCAGTCCGGGGCTGACCGCACAGTTGCGCGCGGGCAGTCCGGGGCTGTCCGCACAGTTGCGCGCGGGCAGTCCGGGGCTGTCCGCACAGTTGCGCGCGGGCAGTCCGGGGCTGTCCGCACAGTTGCGCGCGGGCAGTCTGGGGCTGTCCGCACAGCTGCGCGCGGGCAGTCCGGGGCTGTCCGCACAGTTGCGCGCGGGCAGTCCGGGGCTGACCGCACAAGCAAAGCTGCTATCTTGTATCTCTCTTTCCGCCCCCCCTTCCGCCCGTCCCCCTGCGCGCGTACGCAGGTGCCCAAAGAGGTGCGGCAGGAGGCGGAGCGGAAGGCCGTGGTGGATCGCGCAGCCGCGGCGCTGGCGGCGGCGCAGGCGCTACTGGTGGAGGCGGAAGAGCGCGCGCGCAAGGACCGGCAGGCCTCGCGCGGGCGGCGGCTGGCGGGCGCGGGGGATCAGGGGGCGGCGAGCAGCGTCTGGGGCGGCAAGTCCTTGTCTGTAGTGAAGGAGAAGGGCGGGAAGAAGGGCGGGGAAGGAAAGGGGACGGCAGGGGGAGCAGCGGCAACGGCTAAACCAGTGGGTGGTTCTGCTGCAGGTGCAAAGGCAGGTGCAGCAGCAGCAGGAGGAGGAGGTCTTTGGAAAGCCATTCCTAGCCGTGCTAAAAAAGCATCGTCCTCTTCTTCCCCCTCTTCCTCCTCTTCAGCAGCCGTAGCAGCAACAGCAGCCGCCGCACCAGCAGCAAAGCCCGCTCCCTTTCCCTCCTCTTCCTCTTCCTCTGGTTCCGCGAAGCAGCCTTCCTCAGGCGCCTCGTCAGGTGTTTCTTCAGGTGGTTCCAGCAGTCCGGGGCCCAGCTTCTGGGAGTGGGCGCCCCCATCCGACACCACCCCCTCGCGGGGCGCAGGAGGCGGAGGAGGCGCGGGTCTCCCGCAGCTGCAGCCAGCTGCCCCGAAACCTGCCCGTTCAGCTGCCCAGCGCGCTACAGTAACCATCGCGGACCCCCAGCCGCAGCTGTTGGAGGCGCTGCTGCTGCCCTTCGAAAGCGCCGTCGCGCCCACCAAGCCCGCCAGCGCTGGCGAAGCTTCTACCACTGCCGGTGGCGTCAGTGGTGCCGGTGGTGTTGGTGGTGCCGCTGGTGGTGCTGCCGGTGCTGCTGGTTCTGCTGCTGCTGCTGCTGCAAGCACTGCGGCTGTTGCATCTGCAGCAGCGCTCGATCTCGCCTCCGCCTCGCCATTCCTCGCATCTGACGTGGGTCTGCCGCCCCTGCAGTCCGCTCTTGAGGCTCAGCGCGGCATCAAAGAGGCTCTCCAGGCCGTCTTTGCTTCGGACGCTGCCGAACCTGCAGGCTCGGAAGCCGACGGGGCGACCGTAGCTGCGGACGGGTCGCGGTGGTGGAAGGAGTCGGGCACGGAGGTTCGGGAGGGCGGGGAGGTTTGCGATTGGACGGTGGTTCGGGGTGTGAGCGCGGATGGGTCGGTGGAATGGGAGGAGAAGTGGTGGGAGGCTAGCGATGAGTTTGATTTCAAAGAGCTAGGAGCGGAGAAGTCCGGGAGGGATGCGAATGGGGCTGTGTGGAGGGAAACGTGGAGGGAGGCGACTTGGCAGGACTCTAAGACTGGGCTGATGCATATTGAGAAGACGGCGGATAAGTGGGGGCAGAATGGGGAGGGTGGCGAGTGGCATGAGAAGTGGTGGGAGCACTATGATGCGACGGGGCGGGCGGAGAAGTGGGCGGATAAGTGGAGCAAGATTGACATGTACACGCCGCTGTATGACGGGCATGCGCACACGTGGCATGAGAGGTGAGTGGGGTGAGATGTGGTGGGGTGAGATGTGGTGGGGTGAGATGTGGTGGGGTGGGGCCATTAGGATGTCACAGGGAAGGCGGATAAGTGGAGCAAGATTGACATGTACACGCCGCTGTATGACGGGCACGCACACACGTGGCATGAGAGGTGCGGCTGGTACAAGCCAAAGTTCTGTGGCGCTGCAATAGTGGAATGGCGTTTGAGTTGCTCGCGAGACATGATTGTCACGTGCACGCCGCTGCATGATGGGGACGCGCATGCATGGCATGATGGGGACGCGCATGCATGGCATGATGGGGACGCGCATGCATGGCATGATGGGGACGCGCATGCATGGCATGATGGGGACTCGCATGCATGGCATGAGAGTTGAGCGAGGAGGACACGAAAGCGGGTCAGGCTAGGCTAGAGAGTGGGGTGGTTATGGTGAGTTGTGCGGAAGAATCAAGGGGAAAGACGAAGTGAGTAGGTGAGTAGGGGTAGCAGGTGAGCAGGTGATGACAGGAGAGGTGCATGAGGCTGAGAGTAGCGTCTAAGTGTTTCGAGACGTCTCAAAACAGCGTGTAAGTGTGGTGACTGGCAGGTGACTTTTGAGTCGACTTAAAAGTCAACATGAGAGGTGGAGAGCAGCGTCTAAGTGTGGTGGCTGGCAGGTGCCTTGCCAACTGATGGCTGAGGGCAGGTGCCTGGCAGGTGCCTTGCCACAATCATGTGGAGGGCATCGTCTGAGTGAGGTGGCTGGCAGGTGCCTTGCCAACTGATCTGATGGTACTTCTATTTCCCTCCCTTTTCACTTCCCCCCCTTCCACTTCCCTTCCTCCCTCCGTGTATCCCAGGTGGGGGGAGGAGTACGACGGCAGGGGAGCGGCGTCCAAGTGGTGTGACAAGTGGGCAGAGCGGTTCGAAGGCCACGATGGGTACGGCAACCAGCTGTGGGCCAAGTGGGGCGACAAGTGGGATGAGAAATTCAACCGAGACAAGACCGGGTACCGGCAGGGAGAGACCTGGTGGCAGGGGTCGGGAGGGGACGATGCCCCCCGGTGGAACAAGGTGTGGAGCGAGGGGCATGACGGGTCGGGGTGGGTGCATAAGAAGGGCGGCGCGAGCAGTGGCGAGGGGTGGGATGTGCGGGAGTGGATGGACACGTGGTTTGATGCTTTCCCGCACTTTGGGTTCAAGCAGTGTCTGGAGAATTCGCGGAGGCTCATGGAGGTGGGGAGGCGGCAGGGCAAGAAGCAGAAGTAGAGGGGTGGGGAGGTGGAGAGAGAGGTGGGATGAGGAGCAGAAAGCAAGATCTGGCGCACAAGTGTGTGTGTGACTGTAACACTTGCCCTCCTATGAGTTCAAGCATTGCTGTGTCGTCGAAGGCGTTCAGGCTTCAAGCAGTGCTTGGAGAACTTGAGACAGTTGATGGAGGTGGGGAGGGGAGGTAGCAGCAGAGGAAGTAGGGAGAAGGGAGAGAGGAGGTCGGTAGTACTGCGATTGTCTTATGGATTGGTCATGGTGCATTCCTGCTGATATGTGTGGCTCTTCGTTGCATCGCTGAGGGCATGCAGATGGATGGTGATGGTGATGGTGATGGTGATGGTGATGGATGGTGGTGGGAAGGCATGGCATGATAGGATGGGCTGGCTGAAGGCTGCTGTGTCGGGGGAGCATGCATGCATCACGACAGTGTTCTATACAACCTATTTGATGCCCTGCCCGGGACATGCAGAGTAACATGTTATTGCTTTATGTATTTTGATTTTCTTTCAGAAGCTTGAGGTCTCCCATTTATCTAGTGCCTGAAAGCTGTGCGGTACGGTATCCTGTTCGAAGCTATTTTACGTCAATAGAGCCTAGAAGGTGACACTGGTACACCTCCACACGTCTGGTCATCTGCCTTGGTTGGCCCACACACCCACCCACCCACATCAACCCCATCATTCCTCACAATCCGCAACGAGCATGTCGGGCTTTAAGCACCCTGCGCTTCTCAAAGAAGCAGCACTGTATTTGTTTTATTATGACACATTCTGTCAACAGTCAAGCCCCATTTATTGCTTCTTGCCACCGATGCCGATGACCTTGAAGGCACCATAGGCTGTGGCGCCCAGGAGGAAAACAGCCACGGTGGGGGAGAAAGCGGGATACACGAGATCCATTGCCAGCTGATCCAGCTCCTCCGATAGGAAGCCTGCACAGGGGCAGGGTGGGGTGAACCGGGTGGGGAGAGGTTTGGGGCGATGAGATGGTATGGAGAGAAGGCGGGATACACCAGGTCTATTGCCATGTGACCCAGCTCCTCCGATAGGAAGCCTGGAAGAGATTGGGGAAAACCGGGGAGGGGAGGGGCGGGGAGGGGAGGGGCGGGGATGGGAGGGGCGGGGAGGGGAGGGGCGGGGAGGGGAGGGGCGGGGAGGGGAGGGGCGGGGAGGGGAGGGGCGGGGAGGGGAGGGGCGGGGAGGGGAGAGGCTTGGGGTGATGAGATGGTAGGGAGATAGGGCGGGATACACGAGAATCCATGGCCATCTGATCCAGCTCCTCCGATCGGAAGCCTGGGAGAGGCGATGGGCAACAGGAGACGAACGGGGAGGGTTGAAAATGAGCTTATCAAAAGAGAGTGCTTCTTTGAGGCGCCTCAAAAACGATTCTCCAGAGGGCCCAGTTGACCTTCCAAGCCTTCCACCCAGTTCCCCCCTTACATCCCCTCCCTCTGCACACCCCCTTCCGCCCACTCTCTTCCAGTCGCCCCTGCCAACCTTTCTGCATTACCCCGCATTGCACGCATCAGCAGCGGCAAGGAGGAGCCCTTGGAGGATGATGAGGAAGAACACGAACCCCAGCGACGCCACCACGGCCGTCTCAGTAGGGTGCGTTATCAGCCCTCCCAACAAACCCTGCCACACCCTCAATGCCCCCCCACACCCCCTCCCCTTCCTGTTCCTTTCCCCCCCTTCTCCTCCCCGACGTCCAAGTCTCCCCCTCCCATTTTCCTGCACTGCACTCACCGGCGGCGGCGAGAAAGAGCCTTTCGAGGACGATGAGGAGGAAGACGAACCCTAAGGACGCCACCACGGCCGTCTCGATAGGGCGCCATATCAGCCCGCCCGACCAACCCCACCATCCCCACAAGCACCCCCCACGCCCCCTCCCCTTCCTCTTCCCTTCCCCCTCCCAGCCCCACCTCCCCCCCCCCCCCCACAACCCCCCCCCACACACAAGTCCCCCGCATTGCACGCACCGGCAGCGGCGAGAAACAACCCTTCGAGGATGATGAGGAGGAAGACGAACCCTAAGGAAGCCACCACGGCCGTCTCGATCTCCGCCGCCTTCTTCTCCTCCTCGCCCACCGGCCGAGTCGACAGCAACGGCTGAGACGGCGCCGGCCGCCGAACCACTGCCGGCTGCTGCGGCGCCTTCCCGAACCCCTTGCCGGCCGCTGGCTTGCCGGCTGCTGCCTTGCCAGCTGCTGGCTCCTTCACTGCTGACGTGGATGAAGAGTCGGAGGTTTGGGATGGTTCAGGCTCGGCGGAGGCTCGGATGCCTAGAGGCCTAGATGGTCCGGACCGAAATGTGAGATTTGAAGCGGGGTTAGGTACGGTTAGGGGAAAGCGACATCTTGAAGAAGTGAGGGATGCAGGTGATTGGTGGAGGGCAAGGTTGGCGAGAGACATGGAGACGGCCATGTGGGTGCAATAGAATTGTAAGCGCTAACTTGGAGGAAAAGTAGGCTAGCGACGGGATAAAGCCTGGTTACGCCCAAATGTCTAGCCTCGAAATGTAGTTATGCGTGAAGGAACTACACCTAACGAGTTTTTACCAAGTAACCAAGCAATGGCTTTGGGCGTTTCGAGCTCGTGAGAATGTGATCCTGGATTCTAGAGATAGTGGAAACTGGTGTGAAGATCACGGAACGACACACAAGGCATTGCTGAGGAGTGTTTGTCAGGTGAATGACATGAAACAAACGGTCAAAACGAGGAAAATGCGTCATCCCATGTCTCGTGTGAGTGTCCCTGAGACACATGACTAGGGGGTGGGTTCAATATGATGTGTGTACTTTGTTTCTATTGTCGGTTCGTGAAACAGAGCTTGGATTCGTTTTGTAATGGATGACACACGGATTCCAAAAGCCAATGGGAGAGAAGAACGTGGATATTCCCGAAGCTCGCAAACCGATTATAGCGGCTCCAGTACAGACGTCAAAATTACGGCTGCTGTAAAAAAATACACCCTAGTCTGTACAAAACAAGTATTAGTTCGAAATCTCAAAGCATGGTGAAATCCATGTGGGCCTCATAGCAGCCCAACACTAGTCCTGATTCCTGGGTCGCCCTACAGTTCGTTTCTCCAGCATTCTCTGCTGACACAGCTGGAAGTGCTGAAGCCCATTCCTCCTGACTCCTAACAGAGATTAGTCACTCCGTTTCATGCTTCTTAGGGGTCTCGCTCTGCCCTTCCTCCCTCTTATCGAGCCCAGGAGCGAACTTTCCCCCTGCTCGTTCACCAGATTCTTGCCCTCCTGGCCGGATCAGTCGCTCCCCTGTCTCAAACTCCATGTCCAACCTGTCATCACCGTGCACCAGCGACATGAAACAGCAGCACCAGGAATTATATCAGATATGTACTACGAGGGAACAAAACAATACAATCAAACAAACAAAAACCGAGCATACTTAATCTGTTCCTCTGCCTTCTTGGCCGCCGGGCGTGGCTCCTGCTTCACGCGTTCTGCCATGGTCACACCTAATCGGCAATTCCTCAGAAGGAAGATCGTGTATTGTCTATTGGAGGAGAGTAATCGCGACGAGGCGCACACCGTTCAGCGTTCAGGCTCACGAGATCAACCAGAACCAGGTAGACGAACAAAATTCTCTGCTTCTGAGGAATTGCCGAGTGGCCTCATCTTCCCGCCTCGGATGCCAGAAGTCCTCCATTTCGGAGCAGTCGGTCTCTCTGGCTCGGTACCAAACCTAGCATCCGGAATCGCCCTCTTCGCAACGCCGGTTCTCGCGAGTCGAGAGTGAGCCCGCCCACCTCACGAGCTTTCGCGCGAGGTCAGACGCAAGTGTAGTAGCAAATGTGTTTAATCGGCCACGCGAAGCGTTGAGCGAAACTCCACCACAGCAGTGCATGCTCGACGCCCCACAGCTGCTGGCGATCATGCAGACGGCTTGGTTTGGTTGGAATCGCGAGCACAGAAGTCTCCAGCTGGGCTTTGCCAGAAAGGTGCTTCGCCTCGGCACAACAACCAAGCAAAATGCAGAGGAGGGGAAGCGGGAAGCTAAGTGGTCGTCGTTATATCTGGGTGACTTGTACAGTAAAATAAGGGAAGCGGGCACTGTACATTGCAGGAAAAGTACACCTCCAATCTGTCACACAGAAGCCTGATCCACCTGTTCGGTAAAAGAACATTCTCCTCCAATCTCCCTCGTTCCTTCCCCCCCACGTGGAGAGACCACACCACACACTTCACCTGTTAGTTAGAAGCCCACCCCCAGCCAGCCGTCTCTGTCGGCTCCGCCTGGTCGGCATGGGCAGTAGTACAGCAAACTTCCCCTCCAAAATTGCAAGTCCACTTCCCACCCCGCTAAGCGAGTTATCTGGAGTGTAGCCACAGCCAGTTTTTCAGGAACCGCGGGAGTAATACAGCGGTCACACAACTCATACTACGCTTGGATGTGAAACCTGAAAGGTCTTTCTGGTTGTGTCGGCGACATTGAGCCAAACAAGCACGACAATGCTGAAGGTTGCGACGATTCGCGAGTTTGACAGCAACCGTCGCTCCAGGCGAGCTCCTGCGCGTGGTCGTTACGAAAAATCGCCCAATGGCAGTCCCTCGAGCTCTCCGACTGCAGCAGCAGCGGCAAAAGGAGGAACTGCGAGCTCGAGAGGCTTCGCAGCAGCCAGGGAACGTGGTGGTCATACTTCCCATAGTCACGGCCTCAGTCACGGCGCGCACAGCCACGTCCATCATCATCATTCCCAATACAAACCAAAATGGGCCACTCGGTAAGTGCAGCAGCTATTGCGGCTAATTGCGGCAAATGGCGTGCAGCCTATCGTGCAGTGTGTCGCATTTTCGTTCTTCCTCGTCATCTACCCCCCCCCCCCCCTCCTTCGCCCCCTCCATCGTACCCGATTCAGTGTGACTCCGTTAACGCAGGAGGAGAAGGACGAGCTGGAGGTGGCGAAGACCCCAGGCCTGCTCGCACCCATGAGCATTTCAGTCAGGCAAATGGTGATTGACGCGTGGAGATCATTTGCGGGAGAGAGCAATTCATGCAAAAAGAAATTAAAGATTACCTGACTGGCATTGGAAAGACGTGGGAAGATTTTGCTGTCACTTTAGTCCGATGCAGGCACCTTAGTTCTGTCACTTTCATGAAAATTTTGCTGTCCTTCCTATGGAAAATCTCCATTCACGAATTTCACCCTCCCTCCCTCGTTACGTCCCTACTCCTGCTCCCTGGCGCAGCCCGACAATCCCGAGGAGTTTGAGAACCTTGGCTCCATGCGCACGCGCTTCTCCCCAGCCCTCGTCTACAACCTTCTCAGAAACTTCGAGGATGCTCCACGTGTTTTTAAGAACATCGCCCACTGTGACGTGGACCCACTGGAAGAGCCTGGCACCTTTAGAGTCACACAGCACGTCAAGTGGCGCTTCCTGTTTCTCTCCGGCACATTCGCCACCACACTCATCTGCCAACGAAATGATGGAGCAAGATCAGTCAATTTCACACTGTAAAGATTCTCTCACCCTTCTCTCTGCACTTCTTCTCTCTCTTTTGTACTCTCTTCTCCCTATGTTGTTCTAACTGTAGTCGCCTCTCACTGCATGCTGCCCAATGGCATCTCTTATTTTCGTTTCGCTGCTGCATCACTTCACTCTTACCAGGGCGGAGCCTGGCTTTATGAAGGCTTTCAAAGGAGGCTGGACTATTCACGACCTGAGCCCTCCCAAGCCGTTGCCCCTTGCACCTCCATCTACTCCGCCTTCCAAGGTAGCTCTGAAGCCCAGCTTCCTTCAGTCGCTGGCAGCAGCACTTCCAGGGGCGGCTGCCACAGCAGCTGAAACAGCAACTCCTTCTGGGGTTGCTGAAGGAGCAGGAAGTGGGATGCCTCCTAGCGGGTCGCTGATTGAGATGTGGCAGCTGTCTCAGCCTGCAATGGTTCCCCCTCGACCACTTTGTGAGTGTTCATTCATGTTGCACAAAGGACCACTCTAGATTTTCAGTTGCCGATGTAAAAATTGCATCATTTTTTGTTCTGCATTCTAATAATTGTGATGACTGGTCCAACCTTCCTGGTTATTGCAGTGCCCTATGTTTATGGCATCATGTCAACCAGCATGCGAGCGATTTTTCAAGACTTGTGTGTTGAGGCTGACCGAGTTGAGCGGTTGGAAAATTACTCATCTTCCCAGTCTCAGTCAAACATTCTGGTTTCAACTTAGGTCTAACACTAGCTCCAACTTAATTTATAAATGCCTCACCTTGGCATGTACTTGTACCACATAATGCAACTGTCCCGGAGATTCGATTGAATTTTGGATAATCAGCGTCAGCCTGAACCTGTTCCGTAAAGCGCCACATCACCGTCGCTTCCACGTCACCGCGTTTCCCGCCACAATCGCCTTTCCCCGGCCTGTCGCCAAACCACATGTCACGTGCGCCTCACTTTTTCGCCTCCCCTAGGTCCGCCAATACCCCCGAATCCTCCCGCACCCCCACCACACCCCCCCCGCCACACCACACCAACCCCCCTTGCTTTCAGCTTCCCCCACCCACTCTTCCCCCGTCCGACAACTCCGCTACACCACATGAAAGCCCCAGTAACTCAGGAAATTCTGACTGCACCCGTAGATTCTTGTAAGGAGCACTTAATTTCTGTACCACCTTCATTTGAGTGCCTTCCCTTTTCAGTCTCATTTAGCCGCACAACGGTAGTTAATCTGCCACGTTAGGCCACGTGAGGCAGTGATTCCAATGGCGGCTCTCGCATCCTCCGCGTCTCTTCGCCTCGCGGCAGCGCCGCTTGCGGGGAAAACCCAGGCTCGCCTCAGCTCCTCGCAAAGCGAGCTCGCGGGACTTTCGCAAGGCCTTGCGAACATGTCTGTTTCCCGCTCGTCCGCACAGCCTGCGGTTAGCCGCGTCGTCACGCCAGTCGCAAGTAAGTCGTTTCCAGTCTTAGTCGTACGAGAACCAGGCAAGGGTTTACTCTCGGGTTTAAGACATAGTTCTCTCTGGCCGGCTATTGAGCCTGCGTGAGCTCGCCAACAGCTTATTAAGTTACACGGCCGTTGTCACGTGGCGATGATACATTATTTTCTCTGCTCGAGTCTACAATGGACGGCATTTGATCCCTTAGGTCTCAACTCAACCTTCTGCCGTTCGTTTGCTACATTCTATCAACTCGGCGTTGAGAAAGCGCTTGTGCAAGCCACATCCGCTGTGATGGAAACGACGAAAGCTTTCATTGTATCACGCACTCGGTTTCATTGTGTCCGGCAGCGACTATGCATTTTCGAGAGTCGTAAAGGCAGGCGGGTTGCTTCGAAAGGGCCTTAGTGAAAGGCGTTAATGATTTTTTTTCTCATTTCTGAAGGGCAGAGGAACGCTTATGGAACAGAGGAGACGGACGAACAGAAGCAGCTTGGGTGGTAATAGGAGAGGGGAATGTAGCAACAGACGGGGGGTGGGTAGCAGCAGAGAGGAGGAGAGGAGGATGCAGTAGAATTGCCGATATGAAGTTCCATGAGAGACGTTGCGAACGTGAGAGCGAGGGGAAGAAGAGGGGAGGAGGAGTGAACAACCAATGGAGAAGGATTGAGTGGAGGAGACGAGGACGAGGAGGGAGGGCAGGACAGGGCAGGACAGGAGGCGATGGATGGAACTCAGGAGAGGGAAGCTGAGGGGAGTGGGAGGAGGTGAGGGAGTGGGAGAAGACGAGATGAGAGTGGCAGACGAGTGAGGAGATGAGGAGTGAGTGGCACGAGGCGAGGGAGTGTGAGGAGATTAGAGAGTGTGATGGGATGAGTGGGAGGTGATGAGTGTGAAGAGATGAGGAATTGGAAGGGGTGATTTCAGGAGGCAGTCGGCGTGACAGCAGCCGCCGGACCGACTTTTGTTGGCCTCGTCTCTCCGCCATCTTCCGCATTGTCCGCCGCGCTCCCACCCCTCTCCTTTCCCCACCTTCACCTCTTCTCCCCTCCCCACTTACCACCTTCCCCTTTCCCACTCTGTTCATCCGACCTCCCAACCCCCCCTCCCCCCCTTTCCCCTCTCTGTGTTTCCTCCCCTGCCTTCCACAACTCTCCCTCCCTCCCCACTTCCTTGTCGTCCCCTTCGTTCACTTCCTCCTCTCTCTGTTCCTCTCGCTCCTCCCTTCGTGAGCCCTGACTTTTCACCCTCTTCTCTCCCCTCCCCCCCCTTTCCTTTCCCTCTCCCGTTTCACAGTAGAATGCGATGTGACAGGCAGGAATTAGAAATTCATGGCTGCTTCGCGCTCCAACCACCCTTACCTCCTTCGTCCTTCTCCCTTGTACCTTTTCATCAAGCCTTCCCACCCCCACCCCCCACACTCCCTTCTTCCCCCTCTTCTTTTGCCTGCCATTTCGGTCCTCATTTCCCTCACAGCGAGCGTGCGACCGGACAAACAAGAGGCGCAGCAACGGCTACTCTTCTCCTTCCCCGTCTCCTTCTCATTCTCCAACCCGTGTCTATTCGTTCCTTGCCTTGCCTCTCCTGTCCTCTCGTCCTTCCCCACCACACCCCTCCAACCCCACCGCTCAGCCCTTCTACCGTCCTTCCTCTTTCCCTCTGTCTCGCATTCTCCTTTCCCCTCTTCCCTTTCCCTCGTCCGTGCGCCTTAACATCCCTTATTCCCAGAGCCAGGGTCTTACCTGATGGGCAAGAGGCGTAACAACGGCCACTTGATCCCCTTCTCAAACCACATGTCCGTGCTTCCCTTGCCTCCCCTATCCTTTCTTCCCTCCCACCACATCCCTCCCCTCCCCTACTTCTATCCCCACCACTATTTGCTTAAACGCCTAAGAGCGCATGTGGGACTACAGGGGCAAGAGGCGCAACAACGGCTACTCAGTCTCCTTTTCAGACCACCTTCCCCTCTCCCTCTGTCGCACTATCTCCTTCGTCCGGACTCCCTTTCCCCGCTCCCCTGTCGCCAAACTCTCCAGAGCGAGTGTGCGACCTGACAGGAAAGAGGCGCAACAACGGGTACTCGGTGTCATTCTCAAACCACCGCACCAAGAAGGTGCAGCAGCCGAACCTGCAGTACAAGCGTGTGTGGTGGGAGGAGGGGCAGCGGTACGTGCGCCTCAAGCTGAGCACCAAGGCGATCAAGACACTCGAGTGGAAGGGGCTCGATAAGATGGCCAAGGAGGCTGGCATTGATCTTAGCAAGTTCTGAACAGGCTACACTGCTGAAGCGTTTATTTGTATTCATACAGTGCAGTAGCGGTGCAGGTTCACAAGAGTAGAAACGCTCCAGATAAATCCATTACAAACGTATATAGAATCAAATACGTCCTACTCGAATAGCCCTCATATCTGTTTTAGAGCCCCCGCCGCACCAAGGTGCAGCTGCCGAACCGAACCTACAGAACAAGCGTTTGTGGTGGGAGGGGCAGCAGTACGTGCGCCTCAAGATGAGCACCAAGGCGATCAAGACATTCGAGTGGAAGGGGCTCGATAAGATGGCCAAGGAGGCGGGCATTGATCATAGCAAGTTCTATATTCTTACAGTGCAAGGTTCACGATAGATGAACATTACAGAAAAAAACTCGCTCTGAGAAATGAGCACGGGAATGAGGACAGTGGAAAGTATGGGCATGCTAACGGAACACATTCGATATCAGTCTCCAAGATTATTTTCTTTGGCCCAGAACAGTAAAGAAGATGGTCCAAAATCCTTACGTAGTAACTCATTAGAGTCCAAAAGATACGGTATATTCATTGCACTAACTCACACACCGACAACTTTGACATACCGTACATCCTCGTGCTATCTATGCATTATTACCCTCTCCTCCCCTGTAAGCCATCCATCCTTCATATCCTCTCTCAAACTTCAAAATATTTTGAGCCGGTAATGAGTCCCTCTACAGAGGAGGCACTCCTGAGTCTAGATGACTTGGGAGAGCCGATAGAGAGTGTTTAGATGGTTTGGGCGAGCTGGCACTCGGTGGTGTTGGTCATGGAGTAGCTGTTGCCGTTGCCGAAGCGCAGCTCCTGCACGCAGGGCCGGAAGTCCCACAAGTACGCATACACAATGTTGACCGTCTCCCCGGGGAGCATCTGCAGAGTGCCGCTAGCACCGCGGTTCATGCGCATCTCACAGTACCCCGGCGTCGTCTGCACAAAGATTTCGCCTTGCTGGTACTGCGAGGGGTTGGGATCGGGGTTGTCGAGGATGCCCTCCCACACGTTGCCGAAGTTGAAGCACTGCCACACGCGCAGCGGGCTGGTGACGTTGTAGGCGCAGCCGTTGTAGAAGGTCATGTTGTAGATGTCGTTGTGCAGGTCGTACGGCCCCAGGTACTGAGAGCGGATCGTCACCGTCGTGCGCCCGCAGGCTGGGAACGAGGGAGGAGACGTGGGCAAGGGGGAAAGAGGACAGGGGTGGTTTGAAGGAAGGGAAACATAAAATAAGAATCCAGATTGTAACCGCCATGCACCGTACTCTTCAGCACACAACAATGAAGGAGGAGGCAACGGGAGCAGAGGAATGAGTGGCAAGCGGAGCAGAAAAATCGGAGCAATGGGAGCAGAACAAAAGAGGCCAGGGGAGCAGAGGAATGAGAGGCAAGGGGAGCAGAGGAGTGAGAGGCAAGGGGAGCAGAGGAATGAGAGGCAAGGGGAGCTGGGACGGGCTGTGAGAAGAAAGGAACAGCAGAGCTAAGGAACCAAGGAAGGTAAGAGAGGGAGAGGAGGGAGCAGCGTTGCGTACAGGTGGCGAGGGCCTGGCGGCGGGGGATGTGGTCGAGGTAGCCGGGCAGAGGCTCGTGGTGAGCGAAGGTCTCAGCCGCCAGAATGCGCGCGCCCTTCCTCTGCTGCCCCGCCGCGCCAGCCACTCCGCCAGGCGCGGCGCCATCCGTGGGGACGAGGCCCCTGGCGACCTTCATGGCGTCCCGCGCTCCACTCACCGCCGCCGCCAGCAGCCCCACCGCCAGCGCCGCCAGCACCAGCACGCGCATCCCAGCCGTCGCCATGAGGAGAGACGCGGAGATTACAGGAGAGAAGTGAGAAGCGCGAGAGGCTTGGTGAATACCTCAGTGGGAGGAGTAGTGGGAGCACTGGGCGAGCTGATGAATTGCTGACGGCCCATCATGGCTGTTTTATAGGAGGGGATGGACCGGAAGATGCGGGGCACGGATGATTCTAAGAGAGGGTTTCTCTCCTCTGGCACGGAGGAGGAATCGCCCTTCCTGCTGCTGCAGCTGCTGGTGTTGCTGCTGAGGAGCCATCAATGCTGTGGCAATGAAGGAGGTGAGCAGTCAGGACGGCACGGCAAGAGTCACTGTCGATTGCCATGCTGCCTGCAGAAATCAATCCTCTCACATCGCCACTACTAAACTGTTCCTCTCCTCGCGCCCGCTAAAAATTCCCGCTGAGAACATCCGCTTTGAGCGGCCGCTGCTGTGCATTGCAAGCCGCCGAGAGACACAGAGAGCGACATGATGCCAAAGGTCGGTCGGCAGCAAGAACTCCGACAGATCTGCGAGGCTCCATATCTCGCCGACACGTGGAACACGTGGGACACGTGCGAAATGCCAATGGTCGCCAATCCGTCCTGCTCAGCGCTCCAGCGGCTGTGCAGTTGGCTCAGATCTCGCCGACGGATGTGCAGTCGGGATGCGGAGAGATTTCGATCGGCGGCTCGATCTGAGTCGCAACAACCATGGGGTCGACAGCGACACGGGCGGGGAAGCCCGCGCGGCGGCGACGTTGCTCTGGATGGATCGATCGACGGTTAAACCAAACGACTGCATACGATTCGTCTGATCGGAGTCAGCCACGCTCCAGCTCCTTGACACCCCAGGCCCACAGTCGAGCTTGGGGGACAGTTAACCGGCGGTCTACGAGTCTAACGACATGCAGCAGTCGAATCGCGAACGACATGGTGGTTGCCCTACTAAACAACGGCTTTCGAGGACTTTAGACGGTTAGGCTGCTGTATGGTCGGAGTTGCGTGCGTGTCGGTTGATCGTTCTACGGGCAACTAAGAAAATATCGCAACCTAGAAAATAGGGCGAGCAGGTTGTGTTGCAGGGTGGTGGTGTCTATTGGTGTGCCTCGGGCAAAACGGTTATTGCAGCATCACGAAGTCTAATCTCGCACAAACAAATTTTTGGCGAAACTCAGATGTTTGCGAAGCCTATCAGGGCATTCGTGTATGAACGAAATGGGGATTGACGAAGCTGCTGACTGGAAACTGATGTAACCTTGGTGCCCTGCAGAGCTGGACTAGTATATCCTTGGGAAAATATGTCAATGGTAACTTACATGGGGCAGTATAACGCGTTGTAAGGAATTTTCTCGGCATTCCTTACGGAGCCCGACTACATCGCGTACAGCAACAGTCGTTGTTCGCCCGTTACTGCTAACGGGGCTTCGCCGACTTCGCGCGCACAGTTTCACCAAACCTCGCACTGCTGGCCTGGCCGTGTCGGCCTACGCTTCGGGACTAGCCCGAGCCTCGCTCCAGCGTAGCACTAGCTAGCTCGCACGCACCGCGTTACCGTTTGCATGTTTCGCATACAAATGTTCGCTCATGCCTTCGCTCACATTTTGTACTCGTTTGACACCTTAGTGCAATTCTCGCTACTTCGATTCATTGCACCCGTAACACTTGGTATCAGAGCCCCTTTCTTTCGGACCGCGCATCTCCGCACCCCAGGAAATCAACTTTTGATTTTTTCACTCGAAGGGACTCACTTACCTTAGCACCTAGGAGCCGTTGTCCTCGCGTTCTCTCGTAAACGCGTGCAGCCACGACTGCGCCTAGACTAAGACGAGCCGACGCCCTTCGAAATGGCTGAACACATCAACGTCACGACTCTCACGCAGGAGCACTTGAACGATCTGCTGCGACAAATCCGCGAGAGCGCCGAGGAAATCGCGACGCTGACGGCAGAACGCTCGTCCCTGCAAAACGACCTCACACGAGCACAATCCCAAGCACCTGGCACTCCGATTCAGCCCGCACCACAAACATCACAGCACAGAAGTGTGGGGCAACCCGCGAGCGCCGCAAGTGATGGCGTCGTCCGCCATGACGGAGACGACGACCACGGCACGACACACCCCGACGCGACGAATGCAGCCAGGACTCAGCCTCAACTCACGATTTCAGTGCCGGCCGGCGGATCAACTCTTCCGTCGCCGATGCCGCTAAAGCCGCAGCGTCCGCCATGCTTTGACCCAAGTCAGCGGGGTGGTCCTATCGTTCAGGCGTGGCTCTTCACGTTGAACGTTTTCTTTGACGCGAACTACGTCTCGGAGGATACGGCGAAGATTCGTTACGCCGTGTCGTTGCTGCGAGGACCCGCCATGGACTGGTGGCGCGTCATCGTCACGAAGCCGGGGGACTACGCAACTCTACCGACAAGGGAAGGACAAACCGGACCCTGGGCGCCATCGTATTTCGTGGAGGTGCCCCAGTATCGCACGTGGGACGCGTGGTGCGCAGGTTTGCGCACTCGTTTCGAGCCAATCGCGGCGCGACAGAAGCTCCGCACTTGGCGCCAACTCGGTTCCGTCCAAGACTACACGAGCGGATTTCTGGCGCTATGCGAGCAGGTGGGATATATGCACGAGAGCGAGCGCATCGACAGCTACATCGGCGGCCTGAAGCAGGACATCGCTCAGGAAATCCAGCTCCGCGGCGTCACCGACTTTCAAGAAATTCTCGCCATGGCGGAGAAGCTTGATTTCTTCCGCCGACCGAGACCGGGGTCCTACGGAAGCAGCCATTGGGGACATTGGCCTCGTGGGACGAACGAGGGCGCCACAATACGTGCCGTCGCCGCAAATGCCGCTGCCACACCGTTCAAAGGGCGCTGCTTTGCGTGCAATCGGTCGGGACATCGCAAGAGCGAATGCCCGGAAAACGCTAAGGGAAAGGGGGAAGCTGAGCAGCAGAAACAGACCAAGCAGCAGGGAAACGCTGGGAGTCGGTAGCAGACGGGCCCTCTACTGACAGGTCACGCCGCTCGCCCGACCCAACCGACCCTCACCGAGTGATTGTGCCGGTTCACGCAATCGACCACACTCGGGCGAATAAGGAGGGGACTACGGTAGACAGCCCCATACTGCTTAGTGGGAAAATCGCGACGGACTTAGTTAAAATCTTCGTGGACGGGGGAGCCAGCCACAGCCTCATCAACACTGCTACAGCACGAAAACTGCGACTGCCACTGGACAGATGCTTACCTGAGATCGACGCAAGACTAGTAGACGGCACGCCGCTGGCGATACGGGAACGCGTAGACCGGGTTCGAATTCGATGTGGGGGTAACTTCACGTTTAGCTAGGAAATGCTCGCAACGACCCTCGACGGAACCGATAATTTACTCGGGCCTGATTGGTTGCGACGACACAATCCGCGAATCGACTGGACGACGGGTGACTGCACCGTGCAAGTGAACGGTAACAGCATCGCCTTACCTCGCTGGGGCTCACCTGAGTCTTCGTCGGTGCGTGTCAACGCGATCACGATGAAACGCGCCGTAGCGGCAGGATCTAACGTGTACGCGGTCGACATTCGGGAAGCCGAGGCAGTAGACAAAGGAGGGGATTTACAGAAACTGCTGGCCGACGTACCGAGTGACCTGGCAGCACTGTTGAAGCAGTATAGCGACATTTTCCTGGACGATTTACCGACGGGACTGCCACCTCAGCGACCGCACGACCACAGGATAGAGTTAGAGCCGGGGGCACAACCAACAGTATAGCGACAGTTATGACTAACCCAGCCCGAACTGGACGAAATGAGGAAGCAGCTCGATTACCTGCTCGAGAAGCAATTCATTCGCCCTAGTTCGTCGCCCTTCCTAGCACCGATACTGTTCACACTGAAAAAAGACGGGGGATTTCGCATGTGCATAGATTACAGAGCATTGAACAGGGTTACCATCAAATCCCGTTACCCCATCCCGCGAGCCGACGAACTGATCGACCAACAGCGCACAGCTCGGGTTTTCTCGAAGATCGACCTCCGCGGGGGTTACCACCAGATTCTCTTCAATCCGCCCGGCTGCCCTAAGATCGCATTTCGAATACGCTACGGATCCTTCGAATACACCGTCATGCCCTGTCAGAATCAAGAAGTGATGAAGTAGAAAGTTGTTGGAATACAAGTAGGAAACCCTAGTGAAATGTACCCCCTAAAGGCTAACCCAATGTAGCCTACACATCAGAAACATATATAATGTTTGACACACCCCCATACGCTAAGTGGGGGAGAACAAGGGGTCACAGGACCAGTCAAGAAAACCAAGGCAAGCTCAGGGTGGATCACAACGTCACCACACACTCTGAGCACAAGCAAAGGACCACAAGGCCAGTTCACATGCAGAGACATATATGTAGTACAAACATCACAGTGATCTATGTCTAGCAAGCTTGCAGGTATAGATATATAGATTGCAGTACAGGCAGAGTCTACAACAAGTGAGGAAAAGTGGGCAGAAGCCCTAGCAAAGTGCAGAAACGCTGATGATCACCAGACTGAAGTGCCTTGGTGAACATATCAGCAGTGTTGGCCTGAGAGGCCACGTAACGCAGACGAAGCTGACCACGCTGCTGCAACTTTCGAGCCAGAAAGTAACGTAGAGCGATGTGCTTCGTCTTGTGCTCCAGTCTGTGCTCCTCACACAAGGACCGGACCCCCAGAGGGGTCAGCCAGGGAGATAGCAACCGGTCTAGGAAGCTGCTCTAGGGCAGTGCGGTCGCAGAAGAAACAGTGGGAAGCACCTGAGTCCAGTGTGAAGGTGTGCAGTGCCTCAGTAGGTGCGGTACCAGCAGACGTAGACGCACTAGCACCTAGGGCAGCAACCTCACCAGGACCTAGAGCAGCAGACGCGCTAGCACCTAGAGCTGCAGCCTCACTGGTCCCAATACC